GCCCGATTTGGCTTGGATTTGAGATTATAAAATATTTCCTGGGGACCCAAATGCCCAGAATATTTTGCTATTCTAAAAACAGCCTCTTTTCCCCCTTCGCCTTTGCATAAGCTACATCACTATGTCGAATGTCCCCTCCAGTTCCACCAAGCTGAATCTATTATTGAGCTCACACTCAAGAGTGGCCTCATCCCTACCCCGCCCTCCCAGCCTGTTCCTCTAGTCAGACAGCCATGGCCTGTGATAGTTCTTTGTGTGAGACCCATGAAAACTCCCTGGAAGTCAGGGATTGGGAGGAGGGGGTACAGGGATGGCCAGCATGAGGTGATTGGGGGTTCTCAGAATGCAAGGGCTTCAGGAACTGCCTGCAGAAGAAGAGGAGGCACTCCAGAGGTGGGGCAGTGAGTCTACTCTTGTCACTATGTCTTGGTACACTGGCCGCCACGTTTTCTCTCTCACTTCCGGTTCACATAGCAGAGAACAGCTGCCATCCACGAGAGCAGCCAGACGGAACGGTGGCTTTCTCTCCCAAGCCCCAATTCCTCAGGAGAGGGACTTCTTGGCCCAGTTTTCCATTAGCAGCCACTCCTGACCCAGTCAACTGTGGCAGGAAGCAAACAGGAGAGGCCTGGGGGCTGCTGGGTCGGCGTGGAGGAGGAGGGAACTCCCCACCGCAGAGGATAAGCAAGATGACACCCGGCTGCTCTCGTGCCCTGCAACGTCCCCACACTGTCTGGTCTCAGCAGAGCCATTCACACCTATCGGTTAAAGGAGCAAATGATAGAAACTTCTAGAAGTTTCAACTAAGAAAGGGCATCTCATGGAAAGGACTGTTGTCTGCATGAGAGGACCTGGGCATCTGCCTCCTCTCCAGCATCCTTTAGGTATTCCCCACCTCTATGTGTTTCAGGTTCCAAATCCTGATTCCTAGGGCACAGACCGTGATCAGCTGCCAGGGAAAGCAGACTGTCTTACAGACGTGACTGCGGAGCCTTTTGTGTGCACTGCTTGGTTCTCAGAGAAAAAAAAAACAGGGGAGCTGGAACGTGGCCGCAGAGGTAGCTGTCTGGAAACTCTGTGGGAACCTGAGTTTTTGAAGTCCCCCCCCACCCCCACCATTTCTCTCTAAACCTCTATGTTTAGCTCAAGCTTAGAATATCCTGACTGGTTAGCTTAATAACAAACATTTATAAGCAGGCAGTGATGGCACACGCACTCGAGAGGCAGAGGCAGGCGAATGTCTGAGTTCAAGGTCAGCCTGCTCTAAAGAGCAAGTTCCAGGGCAGACAGAAATACACAGAGAAACCCTGTCTCATAACAACAACAGAATATAGATACATGAAAAGTGGGTGCTAATTTCAAATAGGTCTTTCTGGATGTGAGGGCAACCTGGCTGTCCCGTCCGTCATTCTGTGGATCGCCAATTCAGCTGATCTGACTGGCTAGACAAATGTCCCCTTCCTCCCTCCCTGTTCCATGTTCATCCCTCCTGAAGCTGTGCATTCTTCAAAGAGGATGACCTTCCTGGAATAGAGGAGGACCAGTCTTCAGTCGAGGGTATGGGAGTAGCCGCATTCCCTTGGTAGAACCTCCACACGAGCTCTCAAATAGGCCTTTCAGATTTGAGTCTTTACCGTAAGTGTCTCTCTCTGGTGAGCTGAGACAGGCGTGGGCTGCCACACCCAGCTCCCTGCTGCTTTTATCTTGTTTCTAAAGGACGTTAAGTTTCAGGCCTTTGTTTCGCCTCATTCACCTCCATGGTTGCTTTCTACCACACAGCTCTGATTTCCCATTTCCAGTAGCAGTGCAGTCTTTTAAAGTAAACGTGTTGCCTGCAAAATGAGCGTGTTTCAAGGCGGGGCACGGCTGTGTTAAAACTCCAGACCTTGTCACTGAATGACTGACAATCTGAAAGTGTCAGTTTGGTGAGTGCCACAGCCAGCGCTACACAGAGATGCCTGTCTTGAGAAACTGAAACAACAGCAATAATTAAGAATAAGCCTTTATTTCTCCCACTTTGGGCAAATGGAAAGTGCAAGGTTAAAGAGCCAGTGGGGTGGCATATGATGAAAGCCCATTTTCCAGTTCCTTGCGGGGCAGGGGCGTGGAGGGGAAGGACACTTAAAGTCAGTAATCCTATGCAGGAAATTTCTGCCTTCATGACATCAGCTCAACCCTGTTACCTCCCAAAGAGCCCACTTCCTACCCTGATCCACTCTGCTTCTGGTAACTGAACCATTGAAAGGTGAAACTTTAATACTGTTTTTCTTTCATGCTGATTATGGACAAGATCAGCTTTTGCTCTTTTAAAGAAGGTTCAAGCTTAAATGACCCCTGATTTAAAGGATGGCATTTAAAAGTAGTTTTATTGTTTGTTTGTTTGTTTGTTTGTTTTTTACACAGTATCTCACTTTACTGTCTAGACTGACCTTAGACTCACTACATACCCCAGGCTAGATGTGGACTCCTGAATCTCCTGCCTCTACCTCACGAGATGTATCCCACTGTGCCTGGCAAGAATAAGGTTTATTTTCTCTTGAAAGGATGTCTGGTTGAGTGGACAGAGAGGCTGCAACAGGTGTACTTTGGAGCTACAAAGGTTCAGGCCGACACCCCTGTGAAACAGACCAGAACAGCTCTTGGCGGAATGTCCTCACTCCACACGAGTGCTAGCAAACAGAGAAACAAAGACAAATTTGTTCTCATGAAACTGATGCTCCTGAATTTCATATTTATATTTTGATAAATGGTATCTGTCACAACTGAAATAATGTTTCCCACAATGATAATGCCTGCCTAACAGTGAGTTGAGTGACCTTTTTTTTACGAGGTCTGGCCTGGCTTCTATAGATGGGGAAACTGAGGTTCAGGAAGCTGTAAAGCGTGTTCTGGGTCCTCCACAGGCTGTCAGATGGGTCCGCTCCAATTGTGCCCAAGTGCAGAGCCTGGCACCAAGCAAATTCTGAGCCTGGGAGCTGTGCTCTCAGGAATGATTTCTCCGCCATGTTGCTGGCTGGGTCAGGCCCCATCCCTGTGCTGAGTGGGCAGGAGTTCTAAGTCTGCTCTCCAAGCTGGAAAAGGAGAGATTTTTGCCCTTCCAGATCAGAGCAGCAGAGTACCCACAGACTTCCCTCTGGCCCTGGGGCAGGGGGTTCGTGTCTCATCAGGTGCTCAGGCCCTGAGTGGTTGAGTCACAGAACACAAGGCAGGCATTAGGCTTCAGAAAGGGATTTTCTTTCTCAGCTTAGCCACTTGATGACAGCAGAGAATACCCAGCTCCTAAACTCCTGGGTGTTGGGCCCGTAGCCTGAGAAGGCCTTGTGCCCCATGGCAGCAGATTTGGGGCATGTCAGAAATCGAAGGACTCTGTGCCTTCTACGCCAACCCTCTTGTTCTACGGGTGGCCCTAAGAAGGAGAGAGAGACATTCCCAGCCCAGACTAGAATCCAGGACTCCTGGTTTTCTGGCTGGTGGTGTGCGCTCACTACCTGCTGTCCCCTGCGTGTCAGGACACCAAAAGTCAACCCAGAGGGCAGAGGCAGCTCACTGTGTAGACAGCGGTGTCCCTTGGCCAGTGCTCTTCCTTCCCAGTCACACAGACCTACTCCTGAGTGCTGTGTCTCAGCAGAGGTGGCTGTCCAAGGGAGAGCCCCCACTGGAAAAGAATGGCAGCCGTGGGGAAAGTGTTTTCGTCAGAGCCTTTGAGAGGTGTATAATCATGGCAGAAACAGTGCAGCAATGTGAAGCACAGGCGCAACACACAATCAGGAAGAAAATGATTATTCTTCAAAAACTGAGACTATTTCTGAGCAGTCGGAATTGTGGCAATGTAAAAGTAGTGTTCCAAATATTTTGTGGTTATTGAGAATCTGCTTCCCTGGTGGTGGTGGTGCACACCTTTAATCTCAGCACTGGGAGGCAGAGACAGGTGGATCTCTGTGAGTTCAAGGCCGGTCTGGTCTACAAGAGCTAGCTCCCGGACTGGCTCCAGAGCTATAGAGTAAACTCTCTGTCAAAAAAAGAAAGAAAGAAAGAAATGAAAAAGAAAAAGAAAGAAAAGAAAAAAGAAAGAAAAAGAAAGAAAAAAGAAAAGAGATTTTAATCTGTAGCATGAATTAGAATTTTCTTTTCCTTTCCTGACACTCATTTTAAAAATGAAAATTTAACAATCCAGTGAGTACTAAATAGTCTAGAATCAAAGCCAAAACTTCGAGTATCCCTCCAGGAAGGAAAAAAACATAAAGGCGTAAAACTTGTTGCCGCCACATGGGGGCGCTGAAGCATGCCACTGCCTTCCCAACCCAGCCCAGGCTGCTGTCTTTCCCAGCTGTCTATCAGAGACTGCGGCTCTGTGTGTAGGAATCCTACAGCAAATACAAAGTCACTACTGCTACTCTGGGGACCTCCCCCAAGCCTCTGAGCCAGGGACATCTCCTCTCTGCCCTCACAGCCACAGGCACCAGCTGTTGTGCTTGCCACTACACGTCCCTGCTCCCAGACTGAACTTTAGACAATTGAGAGCCTTGGCCTTAGCCTATCTTCTACTTACTCAGAGAAAGGAGCCCCTAACCACCTTCTCTTTGATCTCTTTCTGTAACACTTGCATAGACTTGTAATGAACTGCCAGGAGGTGGGAGGGGGCATCTAAGCCTGTAGCAAATTGTTTCCTAAGGATAAATGGATGTCAAGACCCCTGAGAAGTGTTTGCATCCCATTCTATGAGAAAGAAAGGGTATGTCTGGGTAGGAAACCCAGCCTGGGCATGCAAGTAGAATGGATCTCCAATGGCTCCCTCTCCTGGCCCCAAGTCCCATGAGCTCCTCATGGCAGGTTCTAATAGATAGCATAGAACTGTGAAATATCAACCTCATCAACAGCCACGCTAGAACAGAACCTTGTCCCCAAGTCACAGGCCCCAGAGGGCCTGAGATGTCCTGCCAAGAGGCTGTGGCAGGCTCCCCAAAGCTCTGCCCACACGAAACACGAGTTTGGTGCTACTGTTGTCGTATGATGTGGTTTAATGAGAATCTGAACAGCATCTAACAGCAGATGGCCTCCGCTCGGATGCCCCCCTCCCAGGACCCATGGTCGTCGCCATCGCGAGGGGGGATGGACTTCCTCATCGCCATACACAGCACCTCGTCGATATAGATGGTGTTCTCCTTAACCTGGATTTCCTCCTGCAGGGCCAGCTGCCTGCGGTACAGCGCCTTCAGCTCTATCTGAGCCTGAGCCAAGGTCTCCTTTAACCTGGGAGGAGGAGGAGAGCATGGAGAACCATCACTTGCTCTGTACCACCTTTTCCAGGGGCAGGGTGATGTGCTTGGATAGTCAGCCAGACTGATAGCGCTCATCCCCTTGCTTGCTGCTCAAGGCAGTGCTTTCTGGCTGGTGGCCACAGCAGTCTGACGACACATATTTGCTGGATGTAGCAGTATACTATCTGTAAACCCAGCACTCAAGGGATGGATGACGGCTTAAAAGCCAGCCTAGGCTACATAGAAAGTTCGAGGCCAGCCCCAACTACTTAGCACGCACTGGTCTCAGTGGCAGAGTTCTTGCCTAGCGAGCACAAGGCCCTGAGCTTTTCTTCACCACTGGGGAAAAAAGCCAATATTTAGAGTGGCAGATATTACCTAAACATCTGCATTTGGACTTTATAACAAAATGTCTTGGGGTTGAGATCTGCTTCACGGATAATAGCAGCCTTGGCTGGAGTTATCAGGCCTGGTGTCTAGTAAGGGCATCCTTGCAATGTGACAGAGCCAGCAGCACCCTTGGTCATGCCCCTCCCTGCAATTTACAACACGGTCTGAAGTCACATCCCGGCAGGGCCTGGCCCACCTGGCAACATTTTGGTTGATCTCCTGAACCTCCTTGATCAGTCGATACTGGGCAACATCACGACACAGTTCCACATTAGGCCGGTGCGTCCTGGTCTCCAGGCGCGTGTGCGCGACCTTAGCAGGTCCTTCTTGGTCCAAGATGGCGGTCTCAAGACTGGCAATGTTTTTCTCCTGGGAAGCAATCTCTTCCATAACCTGACGGAAAGGATTGGAGTAAGTGAGGCTGTGCTCCTTGGAAATCATGACCATGTGCATTCAGAAGACCCAGCCTGTGCATTCAGAAGATCCAGCCTCGCTTTCCCACCTAAGCAGAACCCCAGACAGTCTGATCACGTGTCGCCAAAGCGGAGACGCTCACCCAGCTATGAAACCCCAGGCACCAAGCTGATCTGACTGCCCCCCACCACTTACATCATCACACAAATGGTGTGAGTTCCCCGGAGAATGTCCTCAGCAAAGGATTGACCATTGTTGTGGTTTGAATGAGAAACGCCCTTCAAAAACTAAACACTTGGTTCCTGGGTGGTATTATTTGGGTGGTTATGGAATTTTTAGTAGGTAAAGCCTTGCTGGAAGTAGGCTTTGAGGGTTTATGGTCTCATCCCACTTCCTGTTTTCTCTCTTTCTACTCCCTGTGTGGGGATGAAAATGTGAGATCAGTCTCCTGATCCTGCCATCAAGCCTTCCCTGACAGGAGGCACTCAGCCTGCATGGCTTCAATCCCTAGTACTGCAAAAAATAAATTTTTTTCTCCTTGAGTTTTTTTTTCAACTTTTCATCATGAAAAATTGCACACATACTGAAAGATAGGTAGGCTAATGAACCTCTTTTCCATCTATAGATAGATAGATAGCCTAACTTAGCATGGTAGCACATGCCTTTAACCCCAGCACTTGGGAAGCAGAAGCAGAAGGATCTCCGTGAGTTTGAGGCCAGACTGGTCTATGTAGTGAGTTCCATGACAGCCAGGACTACACCATAAGACCCTGCCTCAAAAAATGAAATCTAAACAAAGATACCCAATCTTCTTTCATCCACATGATTCTCTCCCCACTCCTACCCGTTAGCCTACTTGTTTTGTTTTACTTCATTTTATTTTTATTTTGGTTTTTCCAAGACAGGGTTTCTCTGTGTTGTCCTGGCTGTCCTGGAACTCACTCTGTAGACCAGGCTGGCCTCAAAGTTAGAGATCCACCTGCCTCTGCCTCCCAAGTACTGGATTAAAGGTGTGTGCTGCCACCACCTGGCTGCAGCCTAATTATTTTAAAGTAAACATCACATATTACATAATTTCAGGGTCAAATATTTGAGTCTATGTTTCTAAACTGAGGAATCTGCTTTTCATGTGGTACACCCACGGTCTGTCTGTCACCCCGAGAGCACAGTTCCTTATTGACTTGACGACCTACCCTCTACTGATGTAGGAGAGTCTTCTATCTGTTGCTTTTATTGGTTAATTAATAAAGAAAACTGCTTGGCCTGATAGATCAGAACATAGGTAGGTGGAGTAGACAGAACAGAATTCTGGGAGAAAGAAGCAGAGGCAGAGAGCCGCCCACCATGAAGCTGCTAGGTCGGACATGGATATGAATAATTTGCATTGGTATAGATTTTAAGGTCAATTTTGTTATATGTATATGTATTTCTGATCTTGATTAAGGTATTATGATTATGTAGATCACTTAAAAATGTCATGTATAATTAGAAATATAGGTTAATGGATAATCATCAATAATAATAGTCAAGCTTGTAGTCATGTTAGATTTTCTAGATATGTAGAGATATATTTCAGTTAGATAGACATTCTTCATATCTTTCAAAGACTACAGAATATGGCATTTAATGTTTTAATAACTTAGGGCTTTTCATGACAATGAGACACATCTGCTCCTGGCAGCACTAATCTACTTCAAGAGGAAGATGGACATCGAAGAGGCTCCTTTTGGAGTTGGTTAGCCATTTGGGCAAGAAACTGCTCTTGCCTGGACTGTTGCATAAACTGGACACAAAGAACCCACAGAGAGAGGACTGCTAAACTTGCCTAAAGATGAGATGGTCTTTCGGGGTTCTTGATTCATGAAAGAGTCTGCGAGACATTCTGCAGGACACAGCAGATAGTGACTGAACTGCCTTTGAAATTTTCTGCTTCATGGAAATGTCTCTGGATACTATGGCCTACTATGTAGGCTGAAGATGGATACCCCAACGGTACAGAGGATCTTTGGGTGACTGTCCAGGCAGCAAGATGTCTCTGTCATTTCTAGTGTTTTGGAAGTTGCTTACTTCTTGTTTACTTAGATAATATTATATCCTTCTGGAGTCTTTGATGGAGTTGAAGAATGTATAGATAGTTATAGTTTTCCTTAGTTACAATAAAAGATACAGTAGATATAAATATTGTAACTGTAATTCTTGCTTGATACCTGTTTTGTTATATGTAATTTTACTATGTTAAAGTTAAAGTCTTTCTTTTTGTTTAAACAGAAAAAGGGGAAATGATGTAGGAGAGTCTTCTATCTGTTGCTTTTATTGGTTAATTAATAAAGAAAACTGATAGATCAGAACATAGGTAGGTGGAGTAGACAGAACAGAATGCTGGGAGAAAGAAGCAGAGGCAGAGAGCCGTCCACCATGAAGTTGCTAGGTCAGATATGCTGAATCTTTCCGGGTAAGCCACAAGCTCATGGTGACATACAGATTATTAGAAATGGATTGAAACAATATGTAAGAGCTAGCCAATAAGAGGTTATAACCAATGGACCAGGCAATGTTTAAATGAATACAGTTTCCGTGTAATTATTTCGGGTAAAGCTAGCCAGGAGTCAGGCCGCAGACCGCTGCCTCATGTACTACACTCTACTTTCCACTAATCCATGCTTTAAAAGCCGGCCTATTCAGATTAGAATGCAGACGAGTTCTATACACTGCACTTAGATTTTCTCAAGCTGCTTCTTAACTTGACTTAAATTCAGGGCTGGAGAGGCGGCTTCGTGGTTAAGAGCACTTACTGATTCTACAGAGGACGGAAGTTGATTCCCAGTTCCCACATCAGATGACTCACAATCCTGTAGCTTCAGCTCCTCAGGCAACCCACACACATGTGGCACACATACACATAAATAAAACTGAAAGTGATCTTTAAAAAGATACTACAGTATTTGAAATTTAGCAAATGTAAGGGCAGCTTGGCGGTTAAGAGGACTTGCTGCTCTATCAAAGGACCTGGATTCTGTTCCTAGCACCCACATGGTCGTTCACAACCTCTGCAACTTCAGTTCCTAGATATCTGATGCCCTCTCCTAGCCTCTGTGGACTCTAGGCATCGACATATACCCAGGCAAGACACTCACACACATAAACTAAATAAATGATTATTTTGAATTTAGCAAATGTCAATCCCTTTTACTTTGTTGCAATTGTTGCTTCAATTTCAAACTTAGCTAAAACCCTTAGTCTTTCACAGCTGCATTTATAAACCAATACATATTTTGATACCTAAATGTCTTAAGAGGAAAACCTTCTGCCAATCTAATTAGTAAAACAAAAAAAAAGACGAATCATATGTTCTCTTAAACATCCTAATATTGTCTCCAAAATAAAATTTCAGGGCCAGCAGAACAGCCCGGGGGGTTAAGGCGCTTGCACTCAAGCCTGGCAGTCTGAGCTCAATTCCAGAACCTATATGGTAGAAGAAGAGATCTGGCTTTCCGCATTTTATCCTCTGGGCCGCCATGCACACGTACATGCATGTAGGTGTGAGGCTGTCATGCACAGGCACACACACACACACACTAAAAAGATGAGTAAATGATAACTAAATAAAACGTTAACATTTTCACTAAGATTGTAGATAAGTTAATTACTTAATTGCATATTTTAATACTTTTTTTAAATTTTGAGACAAGAAGTGAAAATTAAATCTCCAGGAATGAGAACCAAGCAAGAAAACTCATTCTCCAACTAGGTAAACCATGTCTGACTATAGCAAGTAAAGGAAGTGTGTTCAGAGAAACTTGTTCACGACAGTTATTCCTTCTGCCAAATAGTTGCTACTTAGATACTAGCTCTGTAGGCGGAAGTTCTCATCTCAGCGGGGCAAATACCAAGGTGTGAACAGTTTTGTGAGGAACCAGGCCTTTTTGCATGCCCACAGGCCATGCGTGAGACAGGGGCTTGGGCCGACACCCTGGCCAGCATCCGGCACTGTCGTCTGGGGTCTTCTTTGTTTTAGTTTGAAATCCCTGATGTCACACAATGATGTGCATCTTTGCATGTGCCTAGCCACACCAGGAGAGTGTTGTTAGTGGGGTGTCTGCCCAGAACCCTCTCTGGTTTATCAGATGGATGTTCTGAAATCTCTCCTACCTCATGACCAATCTTGCATTCTATGAAATGCTTTATTTTTCAATGGACTGAAAAAAAATCCAAAGCAGAATATGCCATGGAAATTATAGAAATCACCATTCTTAGCATCCATAAATAAAGTCATATTGGGACATGGTCACGCTTGTTGGTTTATTTGTGGCCACTTTTGAACAAGGACAGAGGTAAGAGATGTTGACAGACTGTGTGTGTTGCTGTCATTGCATTGCACTGTTGCCCAGAGCACGGTCAATGGCAGACAGGCAGTCACAGCTCCTTGGTTTTCCAGCCATACCCTCACCAGTCGGTAATCACTTTTTTGTGTAACAATCAGTTTCACATGGTTTTCTTCTTCCCATAATGAGCTGTCAGGCATTCTAACACCGTTCAGTGCTATTCACTGGAGAATGTCAGTGCTGAGCTGGATGTGAATCCAGCCTCTGAATCTCTACACGATATGACGATTTTCAAAAAGCTAAAAAAGTGATCTGCAGCTCAGTGGTAAAGGGCTTGCGGGCAAGCATTGGGGCCTGAGGTCAGATCCACAGCACCCACACAAAAGCTGGGAGCAGGGCCTGGAGAGATGGCTCAGTGGTTAAGAGCGCTGCTTGTTCTTCCAAAGGTCCTGAGTTCAATTCCCAGCAACCACATGGTGGCTCACAACCATCTGTAATGAGATCTGGTGCTCTCTTCTGGCCTGCAGGCATACATGCAGAATACTAAGAATACTGTATACATAATTAATAAATAAATCTTAAAAAAAAAAAAAGCTGGGAGCAGAGGTGCTCTTCTCTAGCCCTGATAATGGGAATGGTCACAGAGACTACGTGTTCCCTGGAGTCCACCAACCAGCCGGCCAGTCTGACCAAACTGGCAAGCTCCAGGATCGGGGAAGAGTAATAGAGAAAAGTATCTGTCATACACACACACGCACTCATACACACACACGCACTCATACACACACATGCACTCATGCATACACTTGCACTTATACACACGCATGCACTTACAACTCACATGCACACACTTACTTCAGAAATTGCTAATTAAACACAATCTGAAGTAGAATCTGCTCAGATGTTGTGGTACTAATACATGTTTAGCAGAAATGGGCTGAGTTAAACAGGTTTACAGAGCCTGTGAAAATGTAAGTTGTTTAAAGCCAATGCTTAGTCATTGTACTGTTCGTTAGGAAGTGCTCTGGAGAGGCTGGGGAGATGGCTGGCTCCGCTGAAGTGCCTACATACAAGCATGGGGAACTGAGTTCAGATCCCCATCACACACCTTCATAAAAAGCCAGGTGTGGCAGAGCACACACGTAACCCCATCACTGGGGTTGGGGGTCAGAGATCAGAGGATCTCCAGAGCTTACTAGTCTGTGGGTTCAGTGAGACCCTTGGTCTCAAAAAGTTGAGTAGCAAGGAATGGAAGAAAGCATTCAAAGTCAACTTCTGACCTCCACATGTGAACACACATCCATACAAGTACACATATGCTACACACACATATAAACATGGTAATTTTTAGATGTACTTTGCATAAAACAGTTGGGCCTGTCACGTGGCGCTGCACTAACTTCAACAGTGAACTTGGTTATTTCTTGACCGTCACGCATTTCTTTAGAAGCAGCAGCTCAGAAGTTCTGTGGGCTCCACAGCTCTGCACGTGAGTGAATTCGCCATGCTTACATTTCCTCATGGTTTATTTTAGCCCAGGGCTAAGATTGGAATTTTTCCGCATAAGACGAAACCTCCACCATTGCTAACAAATGTTGGATGCTTTTGGAAATTAGCTTACAATGCGACCTCAAAAGCAGCCCTCCCCGAGCCTGGCCTAAAACTTCCAGGCAAGACAGCTCTGAGGTGAGCAACTTAGGATGCACCCACCTCGCCTGCACCTGGGGTCAAGCTTCTCTCACACTTCCGTGCTATCAAAGTTAAAGCCTAGATCTGCAATGACATATTCCAACTCCCAGCAGTGGGTTCCGACCTCAAAGTAAGCCAAAGGAATTGTTCACATTTCAGAGATCACTTAACAGCCCAATGAAGAAGCAGCGACCTCACCCTCGGCTGGGAGAGATTTACATACTAAAAGGCAGATATCAGGAGAAGCATTTGACAGAAATCCACAAGCGCTCCCCCAGAAAAGAACACAGCCAATTAAAACCATTTGCTCACACATTTTGTCAGCATCTGGCAGAATGGAGCTGAAAGAAACGATATTTTTAGATGAATTATGTAACAGCTCGCTACAGATCGGCCTGGGCAAACGAATGCTTACAAGGGATTTCCTAGGAAGCACTAACTTTGCATCAGAACAAAGTAAGATGCTCTCTCCTCACAACAGAATTCCTCTCCTCTTATAAGGAGACCAGTGCTTAAAAACTATACTCCATCACTGTGATTACTACGACTACTGAATTTCTGTCAGTGAAGAATTTTTGGAAATGTGTTGCCTTCCTTGCTGTGTAAACACCACTATAAAACTGATGATTAATGCCTGTTGGCCCAGAATGCCTACAATAGTTACTATTTGCTTTTTTTTATAGAAAAATATTTACCAACCTGTGCATCTGGTTATTTTAAACACTATTACTTAATCATAAATCTCTCAGAGGATTAAACATGCTCTGCCCACTAAGTAAGCAGTTGCCTCATTGCAAACAAAATGAGAACTGAATATAGTCCTTTCAACTTGCAAAGTCTCTTCCTGACCAGGGATGTCCCCATCAAATGGAGGCCAAGTGGGACCCTTCCTAGTGAGACTTAGGTCCAAGGCTAAATGGGGATGTGGGACCCCAGAGTCACTCAAAGCCCTTGCTTGCTTATTTTTCTGTTCACATAACTCTGCCCACAGTCAGGTGGCTGTGTCTCTATTGGATCTTGAAAATGGAGACTCTAAAGACAGAAAAATGGTTACCCACAAACTCTTAATGCCTTTAAACTTGAGCCACTGGTTTGTAGTACACTAAGAGACTATATGTGTTAGAGTTTTGCTTTGTGAAATAGGGTCTCACTATGTAGCCCTAGCTGGCCTGGATCTTGCTATGTAGACCAGGTTGACCTGCATGTCTCTGCCTCCCAAGTACTAGGATTAATGTCGTATGCCACCATACTAGCTCCTGTATGCATTAGATTGATAGATTTTAAAGTGTGTGTGTGTGTGTGTGTGTGTGTGTGTGTGTATGCAGGTGCACATGCCCATGTGTGTATATATGGAAGCCAGAAGTCAATGCTTGGTGTCTTCCCCTATTGCTCTCCACCTTCTTTTGTGAAACAGGGTCTCTCGGTGAATGTGGACCTCACCACTCCAGCAAGACGACTTGGCCACCAAGCCCTCCATACCCTTGGGTCTCCACGACAGACCCTCAGCACTAGCATCCACCAATGTGTGGTCCATGTCCCACCTTTAACATGGATGCTGGGCATCCAAACTCAGGCATTTCCTTATGCTTGCACATCAAACACTTTACCTACTTAGCTACCTCCCAGCCCCAAAGTGTTAATTACCTAATAACATGTTAAAATCATTTTTATATTGAAAGTTAAGTAAAATACTATAAAATCAATTTTATTCACTTTTGTTTTGTTTTGTTTGTTTGTTTTCTTGAGACAGGTTATCTCTGTGAAACAGTCCTGGTTGTCCTAGAACTCATTCTGTTGACCAGGCTAGCCTTGAACTCACAGAGACCACACCTGCCTTTGCCTCCTGAGTGCTGGGATTAATAGGGTGCACCAACACTGCCCGGCTTCACCTACTTCTTTTTACTGTCTTAGAAGGAGCTACTAGAAGGCACAGGTGAGGAACATGGCTTGTATTATACACCCGCACACACCCTACCCCACATCACCCCCACCCATGGCTGCACTAAAGCCTCAGTTTCTCTCGGCTGCAGAAACTCTGGTATGATCCCCATGTTACAGTGTGGCCAAGGCATGCAGAGAGATAGAAGGATCTGCTTAAGTTCTTCAGCTCACCACTGCCAGATTCTAACGTGGGTCTCCATCTTTGTCGTTCGAAGCGAAGCCCTGTCCCACTAGACTCTACTTTACGTCTCTGAGCTCAGACTGTTGACTGACCACTTGCGCTCGGGACACCAGGTCCTCAAGCAAGGAAGGTGTGGGGGAGCTAGATCTTGTGGACTCGGATGGTTAAGTTTGCAGGGACTCTGCCAGCTCTTTGTTAAACAGGGATTCTGAAACGGATCACAGTGGGCATATTTACACCATGGGAATTCTACACCTCGGAGACTTGTTTTTGACTCCTAGAAGCCATTTGCCAGCATAGCACTGAGTAACTAGCAAGGACAACTGAGCAGGGAGCTGGAGTTGGATCTGGAGAAACTGGGAGCTTCAGCTCATTTGAGTCCAGGGTCCTTCTCTGCATATTCCATGTGGAGTATCTAAGGCCATGCCTGGATCCCAGCCTCCATTCTCCTGCCGACCTGTCTTCTGCAGAGTGAATGCCAACAGAGGCCCAGCACACACAGACATTTGTGCTTCCATGAGAAGCCCTCATGAATACAGTGTGCCCCCCGGGACCTCACCTTGGCCAGATGATCAGCCAGTTTGTCCCTGACATCCTTGGTCTCCTTCAGCCCATTTATGAATGCCGTGTCTACCACGTCACACTGTCTGCGCAGGTCATTGGCCGTCTGGGACAGGATGCGGTCCACCACGGTCTTCAGCGCCATCGAGTTGTTCCGCTGCTTGTCTGCCTTCTCCACATTGGTATTAGAGAAGTCCAGCCAGTCATCCAGGCTCACCGAGCTGAAATACAAGTTTATCTCTTGGGCCGGGGGAGCAGGGACAACTGCTGAGTATTACTAGAAACTAAGCTACCTCCAACCCCACAAGTATGTAGGATGTTTTTCCATGACTGGGCAGAGCCAGTGGCAGTCTGCCAATGACAGTATCTTTGGAAACCTCCCATGCCAGACACTGAGCTGGCACCTAAAGGAACCACCTCGTTTCCTCCCCCAGGAAGCTTACTAAGCTGCTTTTAAGACCCCAACTTGGGCTGGAGAGATGGCTCAGAGGTTAAGAGCACTGACTGCTCTTCCAGAGGTCCTGAGTTCAATTCCCAGCAACCACATGGTGGCTCACAGCCATCTATAATGAGATCTGGTGCCCTCTTCTGGCATGCAAGCATACATGGAAGGAATGTTGTATACATAATAAATAAATAAATCTTCAAAAAAAAAAAAAGACCCCAACTTCCCAGAGGAGCAAACAAGCTCTCAGAAAGGAATGATCTTAGCCAAGCTCTCCCAGCTGGAGACAATGAGCATCAGTACCAAATACAAGAGCAACTGCAGCTGCAACCTAGCACTCTGAGTGAGGGGAAACCAGGAGTTGAACAGATCGATAGTTTTGATAAACTGTTAGCAAACTTGATTAATATTTTATTAATATTAATTAATAATAATTTAATATTAATATTAAAATCTTCAAACAACTTGATTAATAAATGTTGTTTGAAGATTTACTTTTATGTGTATGAGTGCTTTGCCTGCGTGTATGTCTGTGCACTACATGTGTGCCTGGTGCCCACAGAGGCAAGAATAGGGCATCAGATCCTGTGGAATTTGTGAGCCACCATGTGGGTGCTGGGACTAGAACCTGGGTCCTCTGTTAGAGTTAGGAAGCACTCTTAACTCCTGAACCATCTCTCTGGTTTCTAAAAATTGTTATTCATGAGCACACACCACAGAATATATGATGATATTTAGTTTAAAAAAAGGAAAAGAAAAGAAGAAGAAGAAGAAGAAGAAGAAGAAGAAGAAGAAGAAGAAGAA